AGCACAAGCCTCATCAACAAGCCCAGTCAGAGCCGCATCCTCCCGAGCTTGCGAAACATCAGGGTGGCTGCATTCCCAAATTCTGTGGAATGGCGAGTCGGGCTGCCCGCAAAGTGGACACATGCCATCGCTCTGGTACCCGGAAGCCGCAAATCTGTCTTGGGTCCAAAGCCCACTGCAAAAACAGTTCGCGATACTATATTTTGCTCTCGGGGAAAATTTCCCACTGGTGCAAGCCATTATCCGCATCGGGTCAATGCAAACACTGTCCCCCGAGAAGCCGGCAAGCTGCTGAGCTACGCGCCGTTCGCGATGCTTCTGCACACCGCGACGCAGAAGCGAAGCAACCATGGCGGGAAAGGAGTATAACAAATCGACCTCTCTGTGCAAGTCGTCCGTCCTCCCAACAACCCAACACGAAAAATGCTTAGCTCGCCATCCTATGCGGTGCAACGAAGTCAACATGCGGCGCACCGGGCCCTGGCTGCTCCGCCAAGAGGAATTGCCGTCGACCTGAGGGGCCACCCGCTGGAAGATGCGCACAAGTTCGCGCGCGGAGAACGGGGCCATTGAGGGTTGGGTGTGAGCCCTCCAAACCACGTTGGCCCACTGAATGGCCGGGACAACGCTGGCCTTCCAAACAGGGCCCCCATGGAGGACAACCTTGGCGGTGAGGGAAGGCCCCCGGTGGGAGGGAACTTTACAGAACATCAGGGCCCTCCTAGCACACTGCAGTTCGGCATCAGACACGCCGACAACACTGCTCCCGAAACAAAGGCCTGGCCTAACCCCGCGCGTAGAAGTCCTGCCCTACGGTAGCGCTGGAAAATCAAATGACGTTCGCGCATCTGCTTAGCCCGCCGTCGGAATTTACGGGCGCCTCCCTTCACGCACCGATTTTGTCCTGGTGCTACATCAACTCCAAGACTGGCCGCAGCATTGGGGACCGTGCCCGCCAAGTCCTCGAGAGCCTTTGACAACTTGTTGGCCACGGGCTGCGAGGAGGCGAAGGTGGTGGCCTTGGCTGCAGAGAGCCCGACTTCAATATCGTCTTCAAAGACTTCCCGGAGATCCTCGGCCGCAGCAGCCAGAACTGCAGTGACAAGCTCCTCCGAGCCCGTGGCATACACCGCGTCGCCATCGACGTGGGATGAAACAGTGACCTGTCGGTGCACGCGGACAAATGCATCAAAAGCCCCATCGCATAAAACCTCAGCGAACGCAACGTTGAAGATATCCCCAGCAGGCCGTCCACATTTAGCGACAAGAACGGCTGGACAATGGCAAGCCGCCAGCCTTAGAATGCGAGGCCCGCGCCAGAAACTGCACATCGTGTTCACAATACACCGCGGAACCCCACGGCAATAAGCCCGGTCACGAAGCCTATCAATGATGAACGACTCGTAGTATTTACACCATCCCAACTGAGCCCCCATGCCACGTCCCCGATCGAAACTGCGGCCTCTGCACGAACGGCTCGGGTCCATACCGCGTCTTCTGCACTGCGCCCTGCGCCAAACGACCAAGACTCGCGGCGCGAACTGGCCATGAAGCCATCAAGCTCTGGTCGACGCAGCCGCCCCTAGACCCTGACGAACGAAGCCAGTCAGAGAATGGGTCGGAGACCTCTTCCAAGGAAGGGGCATAACATCCACAACAACTGCTGGGGGAAGAGTCCCAATCGTTCAACTGCTTCAAAAAAGTGTCGCTAACACAGCAATGCCTTCGTCGCTCAAGTGCCCAATGTGGCGCGGGTGGAAGCCGCCCAGCGACAGCGCTGCTTGCGCGCTGAAAGAATACGTGGCCGCACGTATAGCTGGCACCGCGGCCCTCGGCACGCAATCTCAATCCGGCACGCCGGCAAGGAGGTGGGCGCCCATCCGCGCGCCAGAACTCCGACAGAGTCTGGACCTCATCCGCCAAGACGTCAACAGGATTTGCTGAGAAAGTCCCTGGAGCTTTCGACACGACGGCAGGGGCCCAGGATTGCTTCAATCTTGTCAGTCGGCGAAATCCTCTGGCATTGCCTGCTAAAGCCTGCTCCGACCACTCATTCGAAGATTCCTGATGCTGTTCGCCAGCCTCCTTCACAGCTTCGTCATAATCAAAGGTAATGGCTTCCAAAAAAGACTGGGCTCGGCCCCACCATGGATGAGGAGGCTCACGGTCTGGGAAATCCTGAAGAAGATGCCGAAGTTGACCCAGCGAAGAATCAAGACGAACGGACAGACCCCCCCACACGCTCGACTCCTCGACGATGGACTCCCTGAGGCCAGCCAGGGAAAAGCTGCGCTGCAATTGTGGTGCCGAGCGCGCCTGAATCACAAAATCAACCAACGCGTGACGCAACCGTCTCCATCCCATTGACACCTGCCCGCTATCATCCCAACTCTTGGGTCGGTAGAAGACGGACGCCCATGATGCGCGCAAGGGCTCACTTCGAAAGCCAGGGTTAGGAATTGCTACTCCCAGAGCTGCAGAAATTTCCTATTCAGCATCG